CTCCTCTGGGCTTTGTTTGGAACTGATTCATCAAAAAACTCTTAAGATGATATTTTCAAAAGTGCCCGGCATTGCTTTACCTCTGACTCTAGAGAAAACAAGAAGACTTATAGCATTGCCTCCCATGGCAGAACAACTTTAGGCCCAAGCTGAGCACTTTGAAGATGTTTAGAACAATGTGGTAATTTATTTTGCTGTTACTGCCTTATGAGTTTTGATGCTTAACATGAGTAATTCAAAGACATCGTTGGGAAGTATACACACGCACTCATTATACTCTCTTTTTTCAAAGATTGTCTCCCAAAACAGCTGCAGAATGTATTTCAAAATTTAGGTTTATTTGCACAAGCTTGCATGCTTACAGCTATATAATGCATATTATATTTTTATCATATCCATTTTACACAAACTTTCAGTGGTGTTTTTGAAGTGGTAACTCGAGTATTTGATGCAAGTTGGTAGTGCATTTTTAGCCCTCTATTTCCATAGTGTTATGCTGTCTAGATTTCTAATCATGATAAACTAACAAATATAGAATTAAGAAACTGCAGGCTACAACAGCTGTGCACTACATCCTTTTGTGTTAGAAAGAGCTCAATTTTGTTTTCTTGTGTTATAGTGAGAAACATTATTACATACAAAGTGGATTTTACAAACATATTACAACAAAGTGGATTTCTAATCTATTATGGCTGGTGTAACAGGGAACCCTATCCCTGTTACTAGGAGGCAGGGCTGCCCCTTTAAGACCCAAGTCTTTAGGAACACCAAGCACCAGGAGGCTAGGGGTTAATTTCCCAACCACTCAAGCTGGTCAGCTGACAGGAAAGGGATAGACCTCTGGGCACATATAAACCCCAGGGCCAAGGCTGGCAGGAGGAGGTCTTTGGCAAGTGGCTGGGGAAGAGACCCCCTGCATGGCAAAACTACCCAGGAACGCTGTGGCTGCTGGCCAGACTGTTGCTGTGGCTAATGAGGCTCCAGAAGTCTACAAGGTACCCAGAGGTGGGAGGTACTCAATACTCAAGGAGTAGTTTGGGGTTTTTAAGGAGCCAGAGTGTGGCTTGTAGGACTTGTATTATGTTATAGCTCAGGGGTTCATATTTATGTTGTTGTTTTATCTGGTGGAGTAGGCTGAGGATATTGGGGGAGGAGAAGGCCTTATTGAGGCACACTACTGTGCGAAGCACCAGGGGGCACAGCGCCAGGGTGGTGATCAGACCCCAGTGTAAGGGGGTGCAATGACAGGGGATGATCAGACCGGGGCACAGCACCAGGAGGCTCAGAGACAGAGGTCAGGCCCCAATGCCAAGTGGCACAGTGACGGGGGTGGGCAGACCCCAGCACCGGGAGGCACAGTGCCAGGGGGCACAGCAACAGGGAGTGAGCACGCCCAGCACCCAAGGGCGCAAGTCAACATTTATATAACATCTACAAGGCATGGGCCACCCTGTAGGGGAGGTTTGGAGCAGTGGATAGTGACCCCTAGTGTCGGGGTATTAAATGAGCAGCCTCCCACCTGAGTAACATCATAATTATTGTTCCATCAAGGCTTGGCAGGCGAGAAAGATGGGTAGGTAGCCCAGAGACAGAGGGTCTGGCCTACATTAGACGTGACAGGGGATGGACCCCTGTCACAGTTGGATATTCATTTGATAGCAATGTTCCTTCATATATCATAGAAAACAGGACCTCAAAAAGTCATCTAGGCCAATCCCGTGCTCCAAATAGCAACAGCCCTGTTGCTTTGCTTTCTGCTTCCTGCCCTCTTGTCCCGGTCTAATCTGATGCTCTTTCTACTCCTCACCATATCTGCCGGTAAGAAGGCCTGTTCCATCTCCGTTTTGCTGCATGCCACACACAAAGGTGTCTGCCACTTGTGACATCAGTGCTACAGATTAGGCACCCTTGGGCTAATGTTTTCTTGCCATATTTTCTTACATACATACTTGCCTTTCTCCCCAATCTATGCTCTCCCCCGTCATTTGGGGTGTGTGGTTTAAGCAGGGTGGCTGCTGTCTTTGCTGAAAAGAATCACACCTGGAGACACTGTGCATGCCATGCAGTTGCCAAGATGGCTGCCACTTTTGTTTCAACAAGCTGAAGGGACAGAGTCCTGCATTAAACCTCTCACAGCCATAGTTATTGCCCAAGCAGGGTAGCTTGTGCCTGAAGCAGCAGGCAAACTGTTGGCAGTATCTTGTTGGGGCTTGTGATGTGGAAAAATCACTTCATTTACAAGAACTTCTATAAAGAACTACTTACAATAAAGGATTAACAGTTTTGCTACTGCTCGTGCCAGGGCTTGGGGCTTAACTATGTATGACATCAGTCCTCCTGGAAGCATAGCGTTCAGGAAGTGTGGCATCAGAGGAGATGGTCTGAATGAGATAGTTTTCACCAAAAGTTCTTGCTGCCTCCAGACTGTCTGATGGGAAGTCATACTTCCTAGACTCTCTGTGTTCCCAAGAAGACCTACTTTATCACACAGTTGGCCATGATTCTGGGAAAATCTTTTTTACCTTCTGCCTTCCAAAAAACAAGGCATGTGTTTTATTTGGGGGTGTCTCTTCTGTGAGAAAAATATGGTAAGGACTTCCAGTGATGGCAATTCAGAAACATCTTGAGATAATCTATTCCACTACTTAACCACCCCCGTAGTGAGAAAGTACTTTGTTGCAATTTAAATCTCACAAGAGCCAGGGAAAACAGGAAAACCTTATAGAAAGGCAGCAAACCAGCAGATATACATCTTGAGAGGGGGCAAAACCAAATGTGCCCTTCTCAAAGCAACCATGAGGAAAAAGTGGGTGCAGACCACCCTTAAAAGAGCAAGCAAAAATGAAAATTGTGCGCCCTTGGCCCATTTGCTGAAGAGAACTGCAGATCCCAGAGACTTGCCTAGCCAGCTGCAGAGAGGTGCACCGTCCTCAGGACTATTAAAGACTTACATTTCTTGACTTAGGCAAAGTTTCTGTTGTTTCTTCATTTGGGCAAAAATTGGACAACATTTCTGTTGTTTCTTTGTCTTATGCTTAAATTGTAACTTGCTGTACTCAATAAATGCTCTATTCAGAGAATGGACTATTCTTGTTGAAACTATTTTCATGGCTTCAGTGCCACCACCTAAATTCTAACATTAAAATTAATAATATTTCTTCTTGTCCTGTCCCCTGTGGACATAGAATAATCTACTGCCATCCTCTTATAACAATCTTTTCTGCATTGGAAGATCTTTAGCTGAGCTTCACTCAGTCATCTCTTCTCCAGTCCAAATAATTCCAGTTTTTCCATCTTTTTCTTGCTTTTCCCTTGTCTTGGTTGGATAAATCTGCCCACAAATGACTAATAATCTCAAATGCAAATGTATCATGTAACATTGAGGTGCGATTGGATGAAGCCAAGTTTGTTGAACTAATAAGTGCAAGACTAAAAGTTTAAGTATCTACTGCCCTAAACATGGATCATATACAACGCTGAGCTGTGTGGACAGAGAGGTTTAGAATCATAGAAAATGAGGGTTGGAAGGGACTTCAGGAGGTCATCTAGTCCAACCCCCTGCTCAAAGCAGGATCGTCCCCAACTAGATCATCCCAGCCAGGGCTTTGTCTACCTGGGTCTTAACCTCCAAGGATGGGGATTCCACCACCTCTTTGGGTAACCTGTACCAGTGCTTTACTACCCTCAAAGTTTTTCCTCATATTTAACCTAAACTTCCCTTGCTGCAACTTTAGACTATAGTCCCTTGTTCTGTCATCTGCCACCTCTGAAAGCAGTCTAACTCCATCCTTTTTGTAACTACCCTTCAGGAAGTTAGTCTGCTATTAAATCCCCTCAGTCTTCTCCAGACGAAATACGCCCAATTCCCTTAGCCTCTCATAAGTCATGTGCCCCAACCCACTAACCATTTTTGTTGCCTGCCTCTGGACTCTCTCCGATTTGTCCACATCCTTTTTGTAGTGGATGTGGACAAAACTGGACAACAGTACTCCAGATGTGGCTTCACTAGTGCCGAATCGAGGGTAAGAATTACTTCCCTTGATCTGCTGGCAATGCTCCTACCAATGCAGCTCAGTATGTTGTTAGCTTTCTCAGCAACAAGGGCACACTGTTGGCTCATATTAAGCTTATTGTCCACTGTAACCCCCAGGTCCTAAGCTGCTGCTTAGTCACTTGGTTCCCAGCCTGTACCGATACATGGGATTGTTCCATCCTAAGTGCAGGACTTTGCATTTGTCCTTATTGAACCATATGAAGTTTCTTTTGGCCCAGTCCTTCCTTTTGTGTAGGTCACTCTGAATCTTAGCCCTACCCTCCAGCATATCTACTGTTCTGCCTAGCTTGATGTCATCAGCAAACTTGCTGAGAATCCACTCCATCCCGTCTTCCAGGTCATTGATAAAGATATTGAATAAAACTAGATATTTTGCTGGATATTTTTTGGAGCTGAAAGTTCATATGAGATGCAACCGGAACCACCACAACAACAAAACAAGCACAAAATAAATAGGCAAAGCAGCACTTGTACTGTAACAGAGCCAAAAGCATGGAATTTACTTAGAAGAAGAGATTTTATCCAGGATACATCCTGTTGTTTGATTCCTCCTTTGGTGGGGGGAAATAGGATTTTGTACATGTAAGTTAACAATACTTCATGAGATAAATTCTGATCCATCCTATTTTCCCCTCTTAAAGGAAAAAAAGTCACAAGACCCTGAATATTGTCCAGTTCTTGGGTCCAGCAAGGTAGTAATGTCATCAAAACATGGTGTGCTCATATAATTAAAACGGCTGAGATTTTAAAAAATGTTAAGAGTAACTATGGATGTTTGTAAGCAGTTTGTGAGGTTATGTATGTCTGGCATTGTGCATGATTAATCCTTCAGCTACGTTGGGCTGCTGTGAGCAACACTACCTACCAGTAGAACATGACAACAGTACTGAAAAAAGAACTGCTGAAGATCTGCTTGTTGGAAGTTAAATATCTTCTTGTTTCACAGGAATCCTGGTGAAGACTATGAGCTTGGCCTGGTTCCAAATCTGGGATTGCCCCTTTGCCAAGCTTTTGTGGAATTTGACAGTGGAAATTATGATAAGGCAGTAGAACTGCTTTATCCAATTAGGTACCAGATCCCACAGATAGGTGGCAGCAATGCTCAGGTAAGTACCATTATTAAATTGCCTTTCAGTAGATTCTGGGCGCTATGTTATGTTATGTGTAAGATTCCTTTTTTAATTTTCAATTCCTACAGTGTAATATAGCCCGTTCCTGAATTTTCTTTGAAGTGGAAGTGCTACATTTCAGCTGGTTAATGTGTTCCATCAGCAAGAAAAAGTGCTACCTACAACATTTGTTACCAAATATTATAGTGTATTTTTTCTCTTTCCAGAAAGATATCTTCAACCAGTTGTTGATCCACGCTGCAATGAATTGTAAATCTAAAACTTATCGGAAACTGGCTAGGTGAGTGCCGCTTGCAGTCATTGGTCATGTCCAGTTGAGTGTAAATGTTTGTTTCCCTGGGGATAAGTAGCAAAAGCACACTTTGTGCCACTACTACTTGTCCCTGGGGAACATCTGTGCCATGCACACTCTGGTGGATGGCAGATTACCCTGGGAGGGGAGACTGGGGTCAGTGACTGTGCTGGCCCAGCAGCCTTACCTGGGGTCCTGGGGGCTTCAGGGTGCTGCAGCTACAGCGCTTCTACAGCTGGGAACCTGGCTGGCAACTGGAACGTGGCTCTAGCCAGCCAAGCTCCAGTTTTGGACAGTGCTCCCTGCTTTCTTTTGGAGTGGGTTTTTTTTTTACCGTGGAATCTCCTGGGGTCAAAAAACCCTCACATGCTGCAAGGTACGAGTGCAAGGAATGCCTGCATGTGGATTGTGTGGCACCACAGATGGGTCTGTGGCACCACATACTGCATGTCCATGCTTGTCTGAACACAGCCATTGTGTTCTGGCTTCTGTGATATTTAACAGCAGGAATGCTGTTTATGAAAGCTGAAATGACCAGTGTTTAATGTTATAAATGACAAATGAAATTATGCTCAAGCAAGCAAAAGCAAACCTAAATGTTATTACGTTTGGTATAATGGGCACAGTCTGCAGCACTGGCCAGATACAGTAGAACCTGGGTTCTTTGCAGGATCAGGTCTCTTAAGTTCCTGCAAAAAAGAGGGGTTTTAAGCCAACTTGGAGGTATATACAGCTGCAGAAAAGCTGCATGGGCCTGCTGAGGTGCTCCAGCTGTTTGCTTTGGCATTATGTCAGAGTGCCTCTTCTGCTATCAGCTGGGTGGGATTGCTGATGAGATTCAGCTGAGTAGAGAAATGTCTGTAGAAGTAAAATTCACAGCAAAGCATTGAGAAACCCACTCTTCATTTGGTAACCTGCTGCAAAGTAAGTGTGTTATTAGCTAACAAAAGTTCTAATTCCACTGCATGCAGTTAGGCTACCAGAGCCTGGGCTGGTTAACTGTTTCAGGTGATTGGCAGTCTATAGTCCCTCTATAAAGGACTTTCCTTCCAATGGTGCACCACTGTATTTTCTTAGGGAAGAAATATACTTAAAAATATACTCTTCAAAACATAATTAAGTGTTAGGCAAAATATCAGAACAAGCTAACTTTTCTGTTCACCGTGGGAAACAGCATGCAGAGACTTCTCCTTTGGCTTTCTTCACTGCTGACAGGATGACACACTCTTTCCTTCAAACCATCTGCTTCAGGGCCTTCTAGATGAGCATTTCTGCCTTTGTTAGCCCTACCCTGTGAATCTCCCTCACTTGCTCTTTCCCATCTGGATCTATTCACTGGACAGGCTTGCCTGTGATGGTCCTCTAGTCCATAAGAGGAGCAGGCTACATCATGCAGTCTCACTTCAAGCTAGGTTTGTGTGAACTAGTCCTGGAACTAAAAGAATCTTAACCATGTTAGAGTATTTCTTCTGCCTCCATCTCTAGATTACAAGCTAGGAATGTGGAGGCTTGGTGAGAGGAGAACAGACTTGTTTAGAACTGACCTCCTAGGCAAAGGGCAGCCTGCACTGTGCAAGCACAGTGCTACTTCCAGTGCCACGTGACCATGAAAATGAATTAAATGGTGAGGCAGAAGTGTGGAAAACCTAAGTCCATCCAGTTAGTGAATGCTCTGTGTTGTATATTTGTGGATCAAGTATACAGTACTGACCTTAAAAAACACTGCTGTCAGGTAATGCTGGTGAGTGACAGTGAAGTTACTGAAATAGGTCACCATCTACCAGCCTTTTAGATACATGACACATGGCTACTAAACAAGGGAACAAAAAACAGCCTGCTCTGTAATTTTGAACACCGTACTCAAGGCCTCTTTTTCCTGCTTCTCTACCTCCAGGTGCCTCTTGATGGAACGTGATGCGTTGAGACCAAATTCACCATTGACTGAGCGGCTTATTCGGAAAGCATCAGCTGTTCATGCAATGACTTGAGTCTCTGTCATTCCAATGAAACCATGATTAGCACTGTTAATCAATAGCTTCCCATGTAATTAAAGGAATCAAATTGGAGGGAATTATTGCCTTATAAGCCATGCCAGATCTCCTGTTTGCCTGAACTTTGGAATGCTTTTGTTGGTGATTCAGCATTGTTGCTTAACTTCCTGCAGCATCTCCAGTCCTAACAAGAAGTTGGCTTAGTTATACCTGGGAAAAGACAGCAATTGCAGGAAAAGTAGAGGTCTATCAGTCTTTGTTTACAACCTGCTGAGCCATTGCTTTCTAGAAATGTGGATGGGTTTTATGCTGTTTGGGTTGTGGGATAACAGTACTCTAGACAGGCTGTCAAATTATTCAGTGCTTTTGCTATTCTTGTCCATAAATAGGAAAGGGAGGAGATTTGAACTGTTTTTCACAAAAGTACAACATCATGTGGGATATATTAGAGAAGCCTGGGTGGTGCCAAAGTTCTAGGAAATGGACAAGATGACATTGGCCCAGAGTCACATCTCAGCACAAAATTATGGGCCAAAATCTTGTCCTTTTCCTGGCCTCACAGATTTGGCTTTCAGTTTTTCAGAGAGATTTTACACTGCTGTCTATCTAAGATTTTCTTTGCTTCTGTTACTCTAAAGATTTTTCTTGGGTTTTTTATTGCATTTTAATGAGGATTTAAGATTCAGGGGGTTTTTTTAATCCTAGTAATGCTGCATATTTTTATAACAGCTCTATCGGTGAGTAATAATAATGGGGAACAGTAGTTACAAGTCTGATGCCAATGAATTAAGTCTTGATTTGAATACATTACTGATACATTTAAGAATGAAATTCTTAACAGTTGTATTGCCCATTCATTTACAGGGTGTGACTGATGCTCTCCTATAGTCTGTCAATAAATTTAATCCTGTGCTCAGTGTATTACCAGAGAAGTGACTACATACATTTATGGAACTGTGTGGTTTTTGAATATTCAACATGGGGCTTCTTAAGCAGAACTGCATGGTGAGTCAAGTATACACCCAGCATGGGTGAGGGAATTTTGAATTAAAATGGTAAGGACCAAGTTCAGCAATGTTAGACTTCTCAGACGTCCCAGAAAGGTCATTTATACTCCTCTCTGCCACCAACAAGCAGTCAACAAGCACACGGACAACAACAATGGAAAAGCAATGTGGGTGGGTATCTGTCTCTGAAAATAACGGCACACATTAATTCTTTTTTCTTGAAGCAATATTCAGCAAAGTTACCCATACCATGCAGACAGAACATATTTAAGATCTCATCACCACAAATAGAGTAAACTGCAGGGTGATACTTTTATCAACTTAGCTGCACCTCCCCTCCCACCCCAGTGTACCAAACCATGAACTCCCACATGATTGGATGGGTGTCAAAGCAGAAGCTTGAAGCTCAGAGCCCCTAGCTACTGCTGCAGCCACAGCAAAAAGGGGAGTGGAGGTTGGGTGAGAACGTGGAGAGCTGCAAATGAACCCAGACCATTGGCTGCCACTTAGACAGTCATGTGCTAATAATATTAATGTTCAAATTGTAGGATTAATTTTCTTGAAGGAGAAAGATAAGAGAATAAATAAATAAATTATAGTACTTTGTTTCTCCCTCTACAGAAACTGTGAGCCCTATAAGCACAAGTGAAACTACCGATGGAATAATGAACAATTTTAACTTAGTGCATTTAACAAACACTTTCCAAGCTGCTTTAAAAAACCTAACCGTGCTTGACGGGTGGCAGGGTTTCACTGATGTGCAGCAGGGCCTAACACTCTAGCTCTGTTAAACTTGTCAGCAGGAGGGGGATGGATAAATATAGCTTCAGTGATTTGATGCAATTACAACACGTTGGAGCAGCTTCTCTGCATGTGTATAGGAGCCCTGTGCTTTTTAGTTAGTGCATGTTAAGACGAGCTAATGTGCATTTTCTTAGTACCTCACAATGGAGGGAATTTTTACATGTGCTCTGGGGATGGGGTGAAGGAGCTTTAATTAGAGTGGCTCTGAGACCTGCTCTATTTAAAGCACCCAGAGGTTCTCATGTATCAGTACCCCTGCACTTAACAATGGTGGCAGGGCTGCTTTATCTAAATCTCATTCAGTGAGCTTTAGTTCAAGTGCCCCTGCTGCCATTTTGAAGCACGGGAACACTGTTTTGCAAGATGCGGAGGCTGGCTGGAGTACAGTAATTACCACGCTGCAGGAGATGGGATTAATTGAGTCTGCCCTGGAGCACTGTAATTACAACGCATTGGAGCAGCTTCCATGCTCATGTACAGGCACCCTGAGGTACTAGATTTCATGTGCCTTAACTAAAGTGCATTAATGCACATGTCAATATACCCAGTTGAGAATTTGTAGTGCTATGGATGGCATGCTTGAATATGCCTAGTTATTTGTTGGTGTGCCGAGCCTGTTTGCTCCTGTGAAGGAGATTCTCCTCCTTAATTTTTATTTGAATTATATAGTCTGAAACCATGCAAAGGCATTAAAATCTGTTTCTTCCAACATTGGTTCCATTGTATATTGTGTCAACAAGAGAACCATATGTCTGATGACTATTTCCATGTTTTCTGAGACCTGCTGAACCAAATGGGACAATTGATAAATGACACCCAGGAAAAAGCCAACCAACCTGCTTAATGGGTATTTTGTGTCGGTCTTTCATCAGCCCAAAGGGACCGTCCTACCTAGCATGATGCGGGACAGCCAGTGTGAGGGCATATTTATACCCAACATTGATGTAGACCTTGTAAAGGAACACCTTGAGAGGCTGGACACCTTCAAGTCAGCAGGTCCTGACAGATTACACCATAAAGTACTCAAGGAGCTGGTAGGTGTCATAGCCCAGCCATTGGCAAAAATATTCGAAAACTTGTGGCACTCAGGTGAAGTACCTGAAGACTGGAAGAAGGCCAGTGTGGTACCCATCTTCAAGAAAAGGCAGAAAGTAGATCCCGGAAATTACAGGCCAATCAGCTTGACCTCATTCCCCAGTAAGATTCTGGAGAAAATTATCGAAGAGACCCTTCTTGATAAGCTGTCTGATGGCAACATCATGAGGGACAGCCAGCATGGGTTTGTTTCTAAGACCTTTATCCATACTGACACCTATATCCATGCTGAGTTTGGAAACCTTTCAGTATACACCAGAGATTTGTGCAGACTTCATCAGGAAGTCTGTACAATCTACTTCCTGAAGTAGAGTCCCAACCCACCTCAACCCTCAGTCTGTCCAAGAATAATTTTGTTAAAATCCTTAGCTGTGCTATAGCTCCATATGTTCCCTCTGAAAATGGGATGAGAAGTTGGGGGAATATGATAAAGTATTTTTTTGATTCTGTAAACATAAAAAATGTTACTTTTTCATTTAAAACATAATGATAGTTTTCTATCTACTCACTTTCTCAACTAAGACTGCTAATTATCTCAAGTAATATCGAAAAGTTGTCATTTTTAAAACTGCTGGCATGTTGGAGAAGTGGAGATATATAATAAACCCTTTAGCTTTGAGTACTCTAGTAGCTAATTTCCACCAAGCTAAAAACCCAAGAGTGATCATTCTGCAATACTCTCCAAGAGACCACTGCATGGTAAGTAGTTTTCTCTCAGCCTTGGTTCCTCATCTGTAAAGTGGGTAAAACAGCTTAGCCTAGCAAGGGCTAGCCTGCAAGTCAGTGCCACAGCTTAGAGGATAGACTTCCAAGGGCATTTATACACATGCTTGGGGGAGGGGGCATGCTTTAGCATAGCTCCAAGAACCATGTTAATTAAAAGTGCCTGGAGCATTATGTGTATCAGCATCCCCACACTGAAAAATGGCAGCAGGGCACTTTGAATTAAAGCTCATCAAATGAACTTTAGTTTAAAATGCCCCACCACCAGATTTCAGTGTGGGAACGCTGATGCACGTGATGCTGGAGTCTATGGGAGCATGGTAATTACCACACTACAGCAGATTTGAGTAATCGGGGCTGCTCTGATGCACTGTAATTACAGTGCATTGGAGCAGCCCCCCTGCAAATGTATAGGAGCCCCAGATCTCCTGGTTGTCACATAACATCTCTATTAAATCAAGCACTCTGTCACGTTACCCTTCAACAAACCAAGACCAATTGTGCCCTCCAGGAGAGTGCTTTGTTTTTTTTATGAGGAGGGACATTACAATTCTTCTGATTTTTGTATCCAGGTTTTGAAAGGAACTCTCATTATGCCAACTGCTGGGATGAGAGAGCTCTCCTTTTCACATAGATAACCAGAGCACACGTTCAGCAGGAAGGTAGGGGATCCAGCATTTTTCCTGTGGGCACCCAGAATACAGATGAAAGGCTTGTCTGCATAATGCTCTCTCTCTCTAGGTACCATAACCAAACAGGATGTTGGTGACCATGGTCTTCCACAGATCTCTGAGGCATACAGAATTTCCAGGGTCGATAAATTCATCCATTTAGATAGACGCTTGACATGAGTCAACCCCTGTCTTTCACAATCTCTCCTTCCTTCAGTCTTTCCAGTTATGACCAAACTTTCAAATTCCTCTTTCCTCATAATGTGTCCAAGAAAGTCCAACTCTGTCTCTTTCTGTTGTTAATCAGCAGCTTCCTCCTGCAGCCTGCTCTTAACAAAATATCTTCATTTGAAGTGTGACTTGTCCAACATACCTTCAAGATGTGCCTTAAGAACCACATCTCCCTTGCTTCAATTCTCTTTTCCATACTTGATGATGTTGTCCAGCATTCTGATGCATACATGATAACTGGTATAACATAGCAATCCAAAACTCTTAACTTCATCCCCATAGAAATTTTACTATTTGTCAATATCTTTTTCATTTTCAGAAATGTCTTTTGCCATCTCTATTCCCTGTTTTATTTCATAATCACATTTCCCATTTGATATTATCCAGCTTCTCAAGTAGTTAAATTTATTGACCTGCCTTATCTGTTCTTTTTCCACTTCAATGTTGCATACAGGAATGATCTTCTTCTTTGTAATTACTATGCATTTTGTTTTTCTACAGTTGATACTTAAACCCTTCTTTTCACTTTCACTAACAATCATCACCAAAATCCCCACAGTCCATACCAATCTGACCATGGGGTAAAATTCTTTCCAGAGCCAAAATATGGTGATTGGTCTGACTCTGAGCAGAAGGGCAAGACTCTGAAACCAGAAACCTCCAGGTTCTAGTCCCAGCAGATGCATGGGTACACCCCAGTTAAAATCTGCAGCCACCACCAAATGTTTCTGACTAAGGTGAAAAAAAGAACCCTTGACACATGTAGCAACAGGAGGGGAAAAATAATTCTGGCCTGACCCCATGCAGCAACTAGCAAAGCCCACAAGCATGGGAAATACCCATAGATTAGTATAGGCAGAGCTGATCCTAGAGTGGATCATCCCTGTTAATGCTTATCCAACCTCTTCTTGGATAATTTTTCCAATGCTGGAGATTCCACAGTTTCCCTAGGCAGTCTACTCCACTGCCTCACTGTTCTTACAATGAAGAAATTCTTCCTGATAGTCTATAAACCTACTTTGTTACAGTTTCCAACATCCATGTCCTTCTCTCTACACCTGAAGAGAGAAGGTATTTTCTCTCATCTTTATGGCAGCCCTTCAGATATCTGAAATCTGCTATCATGTTCCCTCTTCAGCACCTTCTCCATAAGCTGAACATGCTTACTTCAACTTCTTGTGTGGCTTACCTTCCAAGCTCTTTATCTCTTAACTTCTCCATAACCTTTTAAAATGTGAATCTCAAAACTGTAGACAATACTCTAGAAGAGGCCTAACCAGTGCCATGCAAAGAGTATCACCTTGTGTGTCTTGTACCTAATGTTCCTATTGATACAGCATTTGCCTTTTGTAAAATTGTGTGATGCCTTTGCAGTCAAAAGCTGGATTTAAACCTAGTGCAGTTAAGGACTG